AAGATAAGCAGAATAAGAACATGAAATATGCTGGACAAGAAATGCAGATCTTTGATAATATTTTTTTTATAAAGTAACTCTATGTGAAAAGAAAACCTTTAATAAAAAACAATAAATAACCAGTACTAGTTGTGACGAGAACAGTTACAGATGTTCCCCAAAAGCTCCCCAACTCCCTTATGTTGCCATATTCCCTGTAAGCATTATTTAATAAGAGAACATCTGTGCATGTTTGACTTTAACAACGTTTTTTCCGAGAAGAATTGAATTATATTGAAATTTTAGCATTGCACGAATGCGCACATGAATGCATGCGTAATGATCATATCATCTTGTGTACACTATCTATTTATTTAGATATACTATATATTAAAGCATGTAGTTCAGAAGTATGAAAAATAAAAAATTCCAGTGTATTTTTAATTTCACTCTTTCCAAATGCACGCATGTGCGTGCACGTGCATGATGACCACACCTTCTTGTAGGAGGCACTTATATCTATGTATCTTCTAAATCCCATCCTGTGCCGTTGAAAACAGAGGGAGTTACAGCCATTTAAAGTGTCAGCCAATCAGAGTGCAGCACACCTTCATCCGCGTGATTTCATGAATGTTTTTCTAAATCATATTGTAGGATATTTTAATGCATGACAATGTTTTAAATTTCAAAGCATTTCGTCAAAAAACAAAGGAGATTTAGACATTTAAAGTTTCAGCCAATCAGATTGCTGCACACTTGCATGCGCATGATTTCTTGAAATATTTTCCATATCTTATTGTAGGATATTCCATTTATGATAATTTTTTTAATTTCAAAGCAATTCGTCAGAAAACAAAAGATATATTGAGATTTTTCTTTCAACCAATCAGAGCAAGGCACACGTGCATGCGCATTAGTTCGTGCTATTAATTAGCAAGCAAGTGAAAATCTTAATTTTAAAACAAAGTGAGAGACTGGAAAAAAAGGTATCAAAAGAGACTTCAATAATGTACCTTGGAGCTTTGGTAACAGTGATCACTGATTACTGGCTGGTGATTAAGATAATGGATTCTTAAGCAGTGTGGGGTGATGAGGCTTATCCATCATTCATCAAAGAATGGAGTTTGTATTAGAAGTTCTGGCAGCTCTGAAATAAATAAACAACACAGAAGTTTACAATACTTAAAAATGTGCACCACATACAATAGCATATTCTTAGGTAAAGTCTACAAGTATATAGTTAAATAATAACCATGCCAAAAGAAGGACCAAGATGATACCATCAACATCAATACAAACAAGAGGCCCACTGGCCACATCGCTCACCTGAGCAAATGGCTAGGAAAAAGCTCATATCAGCTAAGAACTGAAAGTTTCTTTGGGTGGGGGGGGGGGGGGAGGAGGAGACTTGAATTTTAACCCCCAGGGGGTCATGATGTGAACAAACTAGAATCTACACTACCTGAGGATGATTCCCTATAAAAATCACTAAGCATGACTTCGAAGAACTTGAAAAGAAGATTAAAAAAATTTCCCAATATATTCCTATGTAAAACTTATATCGGTCATTTGGCCCCACCCTACCCCCGGGGGGGTCATGATTTGAACAAATTTGAATCTACAAACCTGGGGATGATTCCACAGGAGTTTCATCTTTCCTGTCTCGATGGTTCTTGAGAAAAAAAATTTTCCTATATATTCCTATGTAAAAATTTGATCAGCCATTTTGGCCCCATCCTACCCCCGGGGGTCATGATTTGAACCAACTTGAATCTACAATACCTGAGGATGATTCCACATGAGTTTTATCTTTCCTGGCCCAGTGGTTCTTGAGAAGCAGATTTTTAAATATTTGTGCTTTATATTCCAAGGTAAAAATGTGATCGGCCATTTTGGCCCCACCCTACCCCCAGGGGTCATGATTTAAACAAATTTGAATCTACACTACCTTGGAATGAAGAAGAAGATTTTTAAAGAATTTTCTAATATTCCAATCTAAAATTTTGATTGGCCATTTTGGCCCCACCCTATCCCCGTGGGGTCATTATTTGAACAAACTTGAATCTATACTACCTGAGGATGCTTCCACATGACTTTCATCTTTCCTGGCCCAGTGGTTCTTGAGAAGAAGATTTTTTAAAAATGCCCTTATTATTTCTCCAATTCATGATTATCTCCCCTTGGAAAAGGTCGTGGCTCTTCATATAAAAAACTTGAATCCCCTTTACTCCAGGATACTATGTAGCAAGTTTGGTTGCAATTGGCCCATTGGTTCTTGAGAAGAAGATGAAAATGTGAAAAGTTAACGACAACAATGACGACGACAACAACGACAGACGACTGACAAATTTTGATCAGGGTTAGGGTCTGGTGCATCTGAAAAACAAGGAAATGTGATTGAAAACCTTAAAGACTTGTGTCACTTCTTTGACTTTCAAAGAAAAAAGACTGCTAAGGCTCCATCCAGCAGTCACATGTTTCCGGGAAGAACCAAGGCCATAAGAGAATCCATGCAGAGAAGATTTGCCTTGAACCTGAAGCGTTGATGCAGGACAGAGTACGAGAAATGCTACAAATACTACTCCGGCTACTTACCTTTGATGAAGCGTGCTCTCCCTGACTGCGGTTGGTTCCTTCATAAACTGCTACCAGGGACAGTGCAGGAAGTCCTGTCTTGAAGTTCTGTCAGCTCTATTCCTTTTCCTGTCATGGACTGAAAATCAATAAGTGGAAATCTTCAGTGTTGCCTAGTGACTTTGAATTAAACATGACACAAAAAGACAAATATTTGTTGAAAGACTGTATAAATTTGACTTTAGGACAAAGTAATCTTGATAGAATCAGATATCATACTTGTACACAAAAATCTGAAGCTGTAAATAGGGCATACTTAAAATCAAATCTGAAATGTATTACAAGTAGTAGGAAGTGTCATAGTAAATTACATAAAGTTGTGCACTCACTGAATAGGGGTCATGGAAACTTAACACTGGAACTTTGTGAATCTGTAGGGGCACCTGTTGTCAAAGGAAGTAGAGTGGTCCATCATCTAAAGCAACAACCAAATTGACATAATTACTATAAAATGAAACAAGAACTGTTAAACTATAAATTTGAAAAATTTTACAGATGTGAAAGATATCAGTTGTAATATGAACAATCTAAAGACACTTACAGTATAACATTAAATGATCCAAAATTAAAAAGGAAATTGTAAGACTGTGGAGGGGGGTGGAACATTGATGATATGTACATGCATTTGAAATGTATAAAATTTGTATTTGAAAATATATTTTGTGAACTATCTTACATGTAGTAATTTTTTTATGGTTCATTATGCATTGATTATTTTCAACTGTGTTAATGGGGAAAAAATGTGAATAATGTATTATTGTATATGTAAAATGTGACATTTTCTTATACGAGAGAGTCTGTACATGTAGAAATGTTATATTCTGTATTATTAAGCTCCTTAAAAGTAAAAAAAATCTTGTTTTTCTTACGTGTGTGATGAACACAACCAAGGTTACAGAGTTAATTGGCATAAATCTGGGTATACGGGTGTCGAAACCTTCCTTTGGTGACCAGACTGCTTGCCACATTGTTTAACCGCCATTATTGATCTTTTCAAGGTTAGACAACTCCTGAAATCAGAGAAATGCTAGTGTAAATGAGAGTTACCTGTCCCTCTTGAGGTCTCACACAAGAAAATAATTTCACAGTATATTACTATATAGCTTGAAGTAGATAATTTAATTTATGAGACTCTCAGCAGAAAATTCATGAAAGAGAAGATAGAGATGAATGCTAAAAAAAAATGTGAGATCCAAAAAAATATGCCTTATGTGTTTTTTATAAAAGAAAATGGACAGTAAACTTACCTACCCCGAAATGCACGTGTGATTCACATGTTGACAAACAGCCTACACAGCCATCCAGGAAGTTGCATCATGCGAACTTTAAAAAACGATTTTCTTTGAATTCCATGGAATAATTCTGCTGAAGAAATGATATTCCTAGTACACGAGTCCAGTTTTAATACTGTAGGTCTAAATAAAATTGCCAGAAATGAAAAAAGCAAAAAGAAATTGTCTCTATATATATGAAACTTCAATTGACTAAGTTCCTTTAGCTTGGCTATTTCCTTGCGTAAGACTATACTATACTCAAAGTTAAGAAGAATGCTAAGAAGCAATTTCCTTACAACTTGCATAAATTTATTAAAACATATAAATAGTTATAGAATGTAATTGTAAAAATCATTTGTATGTTCAGGAATAAATGTTAAAATATAAAATGTAACAATCACTGCACATCATTTCCTCACCAAAAAGGAAACATCAATAATGCTTATAATGAAACAAAACCAGCAGTCTTTGACACTTCATTATAAACATATTTTACTCTATTTAGTTTTATTAAGAATAATAGTACAGTAAAACTCGGTTATAACGAAGTCACTGGGACCTCTGAAAGTACTTAGCTATATCCGTAAATCGTTATATCCGTATAAGTAATTCGTTAAATGTACATATTTGGGGACCCAAGATAACTTCGTTATATCCGTGTTCGTAATATCCGTGTTTGTACTAAACGAGTTTTACTGTATATATAAAATGCTCCCCATTTAACTCCAAAACTATTGTCCAAAACAGATAGAAGCTTCCACTTAGATTGGAAAGACACATTGTTTTTTCTTCAAATTTAACCCTGTTTATAAACTTTTATAAACTTTTATCAACGGACATTTGTTGCACTCACTAATCCTTTCTCTGTCTCTTCCTTCCTATAGTATATCAGGTCCCCACCTCTTGTTCCTCCAAATTGTTGCAGCATTCTGTAGTTAAATAACAATTAACAAATGAATTAGAATGTGTTGCTGTGAAGAAACTACCCTTCTATGTTTACATGCATCTGTTATGACATAATTAAGGAAAGAATAATATACCCGTGCTTCAGATAAAACATACTTTTAATTCATTGAAGGGTATAATTAAGAAAACAGGTGTTATTAGTATCTGACCTGATAAGCAAACTTGTGCAAATGAAATGGGTTGTAAACGGGGATTTATAAACATTAATTACTTCTGTCCTTCCTACAACAAATGAAACCCACGTTTAACTTAATATCGGCGATAAATGAACTTCCTTTCAAGGACTTTGATACATTATACAACACACACATTTGATTAAAAAGCAGACACAACCCTGACAATCTGTAACAGTTGTGGAAACATGTTATCGTATCATTTTCAGTTGAAATGAATTCGCTCTAATTATTCACATTCTCGCACATTATTTGCCAAAGAAATCTGCAATCATGCATTGGATAGTGTCAGCAGATAGACCCTGACATAATTTTAGCCGATAATATTGATATCATGTTGAAATGTGCCCTTACTTTCAAGATAAATGCTGAAAATCCTCTCCACTGTTTCATCATGGAAGTCAAATGTAAATAAACAATCCTTCGGAACTCCTCACCCCTCTTCCGCTTATACTTGAAGAAATTTAAATGAGAGTTATCGCTCTTAGCCTTATGGACGAATGCAGGAACGTAAAGAAATTTCAGAATTTAAACTGTGCATACACATAAGCAGATGAATCTAATGTTAATGTCATTGAAAGTACACGAAATATTTAATAATGACTTACAGGGAAATATACATTGCTGAATTATATATATTATAGCGTTCTTATGTCTGTTAACTGCAAATTTTTTTTTTCTCTAAATTTTTACCTTCACTATTAACTGAGTACTGTTTCCTTTTCACCGCAATGAAATTAATTTGTTTATTTTAACTTTTTTTGTATATTTTTTAACCATTTGCCTACCCTACTCAGATTACTCAAAATATGTTGGCGATTATTTTCGAGAGAAATAGATGTGAATTATTTAAAAGTGTATATCAGAAAATTTTCCTAAATATCAATTGAAGTTTATGCCTAAAATTGAATTGCATAGATGTTTAGAACAATGAAATCCGTTATCTTTTCCCTGTCCTGACATATTTGATTTGTAGGAAGGCGTTATGCATTTAAGGAAATTAATAATTTATTGATGAATATCAATTATACTGAATATTTTCATAATTTGCTTGTTTTTAATAGCTTGTAACTTCAGGGTTAGCCAAGATTGAAATAATTCATATAGGCGCGGTGCTTGCACCCTCCCCCACCCCCACCCACTACACCCTCAACCATGGATGCTTTAGCTTAGTGTTATGACCGAAGTGAACCAGAGGCCTAGCTCTTCGGCAGAGCGAGCGTTCGCGAGCTCTCGCCCAAATTCCTTATACCTCCATTTGTAGGTTAAATTCACCGACCTCGGAACCGCGTGGCTAGGGGGTGGGGTGGGTTGAATTAGCAGTAATGGACAAAACTATATAGACATGGAAGATTTCTTTTATTGATGTATTGGTTAAGCCCCCTGCTACTACTGTCCCCCCCCCCCCACACACACACACTTAAAGTTTCCTTCCAATGCCCATGCTGATAGATATTGCTTAAAATGCCAAAGATTTCCTCAATGGAAATACTATATTTTCTTTCTATTATTAAGCAATGAATTTGGTATGATAGTTTAGTTACCGGTATATCTACTGATGGAAATGAAGAAGGTAAATCTACGTAGCCTATAGTTGAATCCAGAGGAAAATGAATATTAAAAATGGAATGAAAATGTGAACTGCATTTTGTTTTGAAATTATTATGTATTTAAAATGTTGTCAGAACCCTGAAAATCTACTAATATGAATATTACAATTAAACAACATGTACCAGTAATTATATAGTTTCTTTATAAGATTATAACTTAGCACAGTTTCTACAGCCTTGTGATAGCCCATTTCTTGAAATCTGAATGTGAATAGATCATTAAGATTTAATTTTAATTTCAATTCAATTTAATTTAATTTGTCTGACAATTACCATGTCGGCATACATTAATTTGTGAATTCGAACATTAATAACCTAACACAAACGTACACCATGAAGACATGCATAAACACGTTGAGAAATATGAGTTGAACAAAAATGTGTATTTCTTAATATCTAGTTATAATAATGTATAGCCCATAACAGAAAATAAAATGAGATTATTACAATATGTGAATATGTTATGTATAGTCACTATAGTGTTATTAAAAACTAAATTTTAAATTATTTATGAAATTGGTTTTTGTAAGTCATCCTGATTACCTCAGTGGTTATCGAACTTAGCTACCCAGTGATGCTCGAGGTCCGGGGTTGGAATCCCGGTCCAGTCATTGTACCGGTCACAGTACGTGGTCTTATGCAAGTAATAATTCTGTCTATCATACCACAAGTAACTCTTTTAAGATGTTGAAATATACATTGTGTGTGTTATATTAGTGTACAAGTTAAAAAGTTTTGAATTCTCTGTGAAATGTGAAACCTTTTCTGTTATAGTTTAATTATTTTCTTATAAATTTATACATTTGAATGCCTATATGTAGTTAAATTTTCTTCAACTTTTTTAAAATGATTGTCAGATGTTGTTAAAGTGTAATGAATAGATAAGAAAATCTTAACTTAAATGAAATATTAGGAATCCATATATTTCCCATATAACCAATATATATGAAATCACTGTTTATTCCCCTAGTACTTTGCTATTCCGGAAAAAATAGCGGTGTCGTTTTCTTCATTTATCATTTACTAAATCCGAATTACTCCTTTCTTTATCCGTGAAGAGAAAGAAACCGCGAATATTCTTTTTGAATATGTAGAATTGGAAAGCCTTACTAGATGGGAATATAATATGGAAAGGTGAAATCAAACATAAGGGAAAGCTAATGACCCTATTGAATTATACTTATCAGAATGTGAAGGTGTATTGATATATACTGACGTCAATCCTCGCTATTGGTTAGAAGTCAGGCGGGATTTCCAGTTTCGCGGAGAAGTTATGGCCCGATGTAGCGACAAGTAAGGAAATGAAGAAAGTTTCAGTGAATAATATGTATAGATATGTCAGTGCTGCATTACACAAACACAATGCCTTCCTGGTACTAACAGCTAGAAACAGTGGACTTTAAATCCAGCCACTTGTGACATTAGATACAACGTGTATCAGGTAGGCCTATGTTATGATATTGGTATATTTGTTAGAGAAATCTTTTTGAATTGGATGACCAGCCTTATTGGTTCCTATCAGACTGAACTGGAGAGATTTTTCTACCGTTGAATTTTAAAAAATCCTCCTGTCGCTGGTTCGTTTTCGATGGACCTAATTTTAGCAAGAGTTACTTCCCGTTGACGGCCATAGTGGAGGATTTCTTCGTTGTTCAAACAGTTATAAATTTATATATACTCACCGTCAATGGAAACGCAACACTCTCTTTTTAGGGTGAAAAATTATATACGGGATATAACTATGTACCAAACAAGTTAGGACATCTTTAACTTTGCCAAATCAGTTATTTAATGGTTGAATGGTTTTCATTCCATTACCAAAAGTTGATTTTTTAGCCCCCTTAACAGATAACATTTAAATAAAACATCCCCCCTTCCGACCATTTAATCAAAACATGCTAGTCCGCCATGCACAACCTACATGTACGCAGTCCGATTTCTACGATGCATTAGGTTTATCAATGTCTTTATCTGAGCGAAAATAAATAATCTTGGGCATTTTTAATTGCCTGTTGTTCAGAAACTGCGGTCGAATTTTCTCTAACTTGGCGTAGTGTAGTAACTCTTGGACTTCCGTTCTTTAAACAGTTATTTATGCTATTGAAATACATGAGCCTGATGAGTCGTTAAACATGTGTACGTTTGCATCTGCACTCTTTTTTTTCTTTATTTTGAGAATCTCCACCATTAGCAAAAAAAATCAGTCATTTTGGGGAAATATAGGTATCACATCCGGTAAAGAAAGAAGGAATTTTTCCCGGGATTTTTGTACATCACGTATGATAAACAGCTACAAAACCTTGAGAACCCAAAATATTGTTAAAAATTTTATTAAATATGCAAAAAAATTGATTTCTCTAAAGAGGGCAAAAAGCAACTTCCGGTATAGTAAAGAATTTCGTTCAACCGTTGAAAAACTGATTTTGCAAAGTAAAAGATGTCCTAACTTTTTTGGTACATGGTAATAACCCGTATATACTTTTCACCCTAAAATTATAGTGTTGCGTTTTCATTGACGGTGAGTATATTTGCGATTTGGAATAAGGCATTATAAATGTTTTGAAGTATATGATCTCTTTGAAGCCTTCTTTATTTTGAAAAAATAGTTACTAATGATTTTCCATCACATATTTCTGCTAGAGTTATTTAAACTTGGTAAGACAAAGAGGAAAACGCACCGAGTCGACCTCCAATATGGCCACCAACGGGAGTTAACTTTTGTTAAAATGATGCCCATGGAAAACACTCAAAGAAAAATTGGGAGATAACTCTAGCTCATTGGATTAACGATGAAAAATCCTGAGAGGTTGTATGTCCGCAAATGTTTGACTACCGTATTCTCTCCGTTTTTGTCTGTCAACTAAGAGGACTTGCGGGAGTTTGATTTGGGGTTATTTTTGGACAGAACATCTCGCAAATGATATTACATATTTAACAACATTGTGTCACACATTTTGTCAAACCACGGTCCGTAGTCCGCATACAGCTCTCTTCTACCCGTGGCTGAATCAACCTATCATGTCAAAAATATACAATAAATATTTATTATACTGTGATTGGCCATGGAAAGGTCTCAATAAAGTTCATCATGCGATTATGCTTTACTTACATTGTTCAATTTTTTAATGAGTTACGAGGAATTCTCTCTTCTCGTTCAACCACGTCCAGAATGGTTGGGAA